ACCCCGGGGACTGTAGCCCACCAGGCTCCTCTGTCCATGGAATTTTCAAGGCAAGAATACTGGAGTGGGTTGCCATTTTCTACAATGGATTCAATAACCATTGAATCACACTGTCCCAGAATAAAAACGGAGATACTTTTCTATGACTCTAATTGTCACTCTGCATTTATTTTCTAATGAATAAAATCCATCTGTTGAGGGAAGCAAAGGAATGGACTCTTCTTAGAACTTAAGAGTGCTTAACAAAAGCCTTATGGGAAAAAAAAATGGTAAGGTACTTTTTGTCTTGGTCAAATCTTCTAGAGAAGTAATTCAGACAGAAGCAAAGTAGACATCATAGCCTCAGAGCTGCCTGGTTCACATAACACTGGATTAGTTGCAGAGTCATGTCCAACTCTTGTGACCCATGGACTGAAGGCTGCCAGGCTACTCTGCCCATGGGATTTCCCAGGCAAAAATACTGGAGTGGGGTTGTCATCTCCTCCTCCAAGGGACCTTCCTTACCCAGGAATCAAACCCACATCTCCTGTGTCTCCTACATTGCAGGCGGATTCCATACCCATTGAGCCACCATGGAAGCCAAAAGGTGGTTGATATAATATCTTTGGCAGACATATATACATATATTGATGCGTTTGAACTCTGGTGTTGGAGAAGAGTCTTGAGAGTTCCCTGGACTGCAAGGAGATCAAACCAGTCAATCGTAAAGGAAATCAAACCTGAATGTTCATTGGAAGGACAGACACTGAAGTTGAAGCTCCAATACTTCAGCCACCTGATGCAAAGAATCGACTTATTGGAAAAGACCCTGATGGTGGGAAAGACTGAAGGCAGGAGGAGAAGGGGATGACAGAGGATGAGATGGTTGGACAGCATCATCAACTCAATGGACATGAGTTTGAGCAAACTCCGGGAGATGGTAAAGGACTGGGAAGGCTGGTGTACTGCAGTCCATGGGGTCGCAGAGAGCTGGACATAACTGAGAGACTGAACAACAACAAGAATACATATGTATGTAATTGAAAAAAAAGAAAAAAGGTTCACATAATGTCTTTTCAATTACATATATATGTATATCTGTCTGCATATATATTTACACTTAAATACCCACACACTGTATCTACCTGTGTGTATATATTTTTCTCACTAATGTAAAAATTCTGTCCCCAGATATACAGACTCTCTTATTTTACAACTATAATATTTTCTGCACAGCAGTTGATATTTATTTGGGGAATATTTGAATGGCTCTGCCAAACTTTAAGTCACAGGGAAACTGAAGTGGCCTTTCAACAATTTGGAGGCAAAGGAGCAGCAGAAGCAAAACAGATAGAGCCTTTACACAATCATTCACAGGACAATGCAAAAACCTGGTGACAATGAGCCTTTACACAATCATTCACAGGACAATGCAAAAACCTGGTGACAATGAGCCTTTACACAATCATTCACAGGACAATGCAAAAACCTGGTGACAATGAGCCTTTACACAATCATTCACAGGACAATGCAAAACCTGGTGACAATGAGCCTTTACACAATCATTCACAGGACAATGCAAAAACCTGGTGACAATGAGCCTTTACACAATCACTCACAGGACAATGCAAAAACCTGGTGACAATGAGCCTTTACACAATCACTCACAGGACAATGCAAAAACCTGGTGACAATGAGCCTTTACACAATCACTCACAGGACAATGCAAAAACCTGGTGACAATGAGCCTTTACACAATCACTCACAGGACAATGCAAAAACCTGGTGACAATGAGCCTTTACACAATCACTCACAGGACAATGCAAAAACCTGGTGACAATTAACTTGGCTCTCAAAGAAGGCAGCATTCTTTACCTTTCCAGTGGTTTGTTCCACCCCAGGATTCAGATTCTAGATGTGTTCTTGGGACATTTTCCTATGAAGTTTAATAATAACCCTAATATCACCATGCTGAGTCTACCTATGCGATGTAAAATAGTGGGTAAGCAAATATTAATTACAGAGTGACAATTGTCCGTTTAAAGTGAACATTGTACAATTTTTATAGTATACTGACTTATAAAAATACTATTCTAAAGCTAGTTCTCATAGACGTTTCCTCCCTAAGTAGAAGATTGTCCATCTTTTCCCTTAGCTTGATAAAGAATGTTAGGTAGCCAAAAATATCTGGCATTTACTAGGATGAAATGGAACTTTACAAAGGTCAACAGAAAACTGAATTCAAATACTTATGGAAGTAATACAAAGGACTTAGATTGAGATATAATAGTTGCAATAAACTATCAGTTCAGTTCAGTAGAGTCACTCAGTCATGTCCGACTCTTTGCGACTCCATGGACTGCAGCACACCAGGCCTCCCTGTCCATCACCAACTCCCAGAGTTTACTCAAAATCATGTTCATTGAGTCGGTGATGCCACCCAACCATCTCATCCTTTGTCGTCCCCTTCTCCTGCCCTCAATCTTTCCCAGCATCAGGGTCTTTTCAAATGTCAGTTCTTCGCATCAGGTGGCCAAAGTATTGGAGTTTCAGCTTCAGCATCAGTCCTTCCAATGAATATTCAGGACTGATTTCCTTTAGGATGGACTGGTTGGATCTCCTTGCAGTCTAAGGGACCCTCAAGAGTCTTCTCCAACACCACAGTTCAAAACCATCAATTCTTTGGCTCTCAGCTTTATTTATAGTCCAACTCTCACATCCATACACGACTCCTGGAAAAACCATACCTTTGACTAGACAGACCTTTGTTGGCAAAGTAATATCTCTGCTTTTTAATATGCTGTCTAGGTTGGTTATAACTTTTCTTCCTAGGAGTGAGCGTCTTTTAATTTCATGGCTGCAGTCACCATCTACAGTGATTTTGGAGCCCCAAAAATAAAGTCTGTCACTCTTTTCATTGCTTCCCCATCTACTTGCTATGAAGTGATGGGACCCACTGTGACACTGTGGAGGAGGCAGGGATCAAATCCCCAAGAGAAAGAAATGAAAAAAGGTAAAATGGCTGTCTGAGGAGGACTTACAAACTGCTGTGAAAAGAAGAGAAGCAATAAATTATAAGAATTCACAATTTCAAAACTGAGAGAGAGAGAGAGAGAGAATGTGTGTGTATTTAATGAAGAGAGGCAGAAGAAGAAAGGAGCAGAGGAAAATTCAGTGATGACACAGATTCCCACCTGAGTACTGGCCACAACTGTACTGCCACTAAGAGAAGTCAGTGGATGGGAAATGTGTACTGTGATAGATCTGATACGCTAACTGTGAGAGGACAGTCAAGTACTCAAATGGAAGTAGCTAATGAAATGCTGAACAAGGTAGAATTGAAGCTCAGGAATCAGGTTAGAGCAGCAACAGTGAGTGTTGATTCATCTCATCCAAATTGGAAAGAGCAAGAGCTAGGTTATTAAATGAAACTAACACTGCATGGCTGCCAAAGGCCCAGGACTGTAACGTGAACTGTATTTAATCATTTTAACTCTGACAATGATTTAAGAAGTATGGCCATAGTAGCCTCATTTCTAAAAGGAGGAAAGCAAGTCTCAGATAAGTGAAGTCACTTGACCAAAGAAACGAGGTATTCTGAATTTAAGCCTTTCCTCTCTTTACAGTACCATTCTGCCTCTTTAGAAGAATATCTGGGAACATGATATAAATGAGGCTTCCCAGGTGGCTCAGAAATAAAGAATCCGCCTTCCAATGCAGGAGACACAGAAGATGTGGGTTTGATCCTTGGGTCAGGAAGATCCCCTGGAGGAGGAAATCCCAATTCACCCCAGTATTCTTGTCTAGAAAATTTCATGGACAAAGGAGCATGGTGGGCTACAATCCATGAGATCACAAAAGAGTTTGGCCAAAGAGTTGATATGAATGAAATTTCTAAGCAAGTGAACCTAGAGAGACGAACAGGGAGCCAAACAGAACTTAGACTTTATCTCCACCTTATAGAGCCTTAGAGACCTCTGGCACTGGGAACACTTCATGATGTTCCTAACAGTCTCAATGAAAACATCCATATTTCTGTTAAAATCAATCATATGAGGAATTTGGGTTTCCACAGTCAGCAGCAATCGTGGAACTCACCTTTAGGGCATGAAGTCAAATACAACAGGCCCGGGAAATAATCAAACTTCCCCCAATTGCTAATTCATTTCCTCATTCACAGCTTTGTTGACAGCTACTTATTCTAGTGCAAATTTTCTTTATTCTGTGTTAATAATCTCACCAAACAAAAGGCAAATTCCCACACTATGGGACAGGCCTGAGTGTTAGAATTCAGCAACTGCTAAGTTATCGTTTTGAGAATTTCATGTTTGGAATCCCTTCTCGCAGCAAAATGCTGCTGACTGCAGATTCTTATCAACTGGTTCCTCAGGCCTGGGCTCCAATTTTATTACTTTTTGGTTTTGCTCTCTGAAATTCTCTGCCACACAGTTTTAAAAGCCAATAAAAGTAAATTCTGTACTAAACACAGAGCTTTAGTCTTTCATAGAAAAGATCTCTCAAATTTTCCTGGGCCATTTTTCTAGGGCTTCTCTCTCATTGGTTGCTCATTCTACTTTTGCTATCCATGGGACAGAGAAGATGAAAGAAAGTAAGAGTATTTTATTCAATATGATTTTTCCCCATTGGTTTTTTTTTATCTTTGGGATTTCTTCTCTAACAGCACTCTGATGATACACTAAAATAAGCTCCTTCACATTATCCAAACAACTGGTCAACTTAGCAATATACTCTGCAACTCAAATGACGGAAAAGACATCAAGTTTTTGCTAGGTTGAATTAAACTGTTTTTCAAACATGCCAGTTCAACCAAATAACTGAAATTCTAAGTACCTGCAGTTAGAGAAGTCAGAGCAAGAAAGCATATTCAGGAATCCACTAAGAAGAACTTCTTCCTTTAGGTTTAGTTGGATTTCTTCAACTGGATGAAATTTTGTTTAAAAGAAAAGTTCAATTTCAAAGAATAAAAGCATAAGTTTGAAAAGTGAGTTAATTCACTTACTGAAATAACCACAACAGGATATAAAATGGAAAGATTACTCTCTTCCAGCATATTCAGTAACCTCTGGGTTTCTTCAAAATCAGAGGTCATAACCTGAAAGAACAGAAAAACAAAAGAAAGTGAAAAGAAGTTAAATGACTTAAGAGTTAATTCAAGGAGAAAAATGGAGAGCTTTTAAATACTTAAACATTCAAAATATCTATCAAGCTTAATTTTAAATTTTCAAACAATGTTGATACCCATAAGATTATAACTATTAAAATTTAAAGAATTCATTAATTCAAACCTGTCTTTCTGTCTAATTTTTATCAGAAACTTGAAAATACTGTTTAAAGAAATATCACTCTCTTCTCATTATGGGAACTAGATTGTAAGAAAATGCTATTTCCCTATTTAAAAAGACAAAAATAACATTTTGAAATAAATATTGAGTAATACAACTCACCTATCAAAATCTTAAATTCAAATACTTAAGAATCAAGAAAACTAAGTACTCTTCCACATTACATTCACACAAATTCTCAAGTAATTTCAATCACTTGTATTTACTACTTACATTCACACAAACAAAACTGTAGCATTGCTCTAAGATGATTTGCTGAAGATCTTGGCCAGATATGACTTTCACATGCTAGGAGAAAGAACACACAGGAAAAAAGAGTTTACAAACTATATAGAAAACCAAACATGAAGATAAACAACTTTATGAACACAAAACTTCTATAGGCATATAAAGCCAAGGACCATATATAAAAACAAAATAAACTGGACTTAAGTTTCTGAGGCTAAAAAAAAAGAGCATTTGAAATAGTCCATAAATAGTTAATATTATTGCAGCAAATAAGGATATGGGAAATTGTTTTAGATAAAAAGAGGTAGAAAAAGCTCAAGATATATTCAGGACTAGGTAAATAGTCTGGCTTTTTTTAATATAAAAATATACTGCAGAAAACAACTGAATAAAATTTAAAAGTTGGTTAGATGAGATTTGTTAAAGGATTCTGGAAGCATGTTAAATACTACAGTTACAAAGAAGAGATTTCACTAAATATGGGATGGCTATAAACAGGGAAAGCAACAAAAGACTGTATCATAAGAGGGCGTCTTCTGAGGGTCAGAATAGGAAGACCCCGAGCTCACCCCTCCCATGAAAGACCAAAACTACAGCTACATATAGAATAATTGTCTCTGAAAACGACTTGAACATTAGCAGAACAGACTTTCTACAACCAAGGATATGAAGAAAAGGCTGCATCAAGCCAGGTGGGGACAGGAAGAGGGGCAGTCTAGTCAGAACCCCCATCCTGGTGCTTCCCTCCATATGCAAGAGGAATACTGCAAACATGACGGCCCCCCTGAGGAGCTCGGAGTCTGAGCCCCACGCTGGATTCCCAGCCTGGGGCAGAGGGGTCTGCACCAGGGAGCTGCCATCACATTTGGCTTGAGAAAACAATGTCTGAAAACTTCCTCACTCTGGGGAAGAAAACAGACAGCCATGTCCAGGAAGTATAGAAAGTACCAAACAAAATGAATCCAAAGAGATGTATACCAAGACACGTTATAATTAAAACGACAAAATGCAAAGGTAGAGAGTCTGAAAATCAGCAAGAGAAAAACAGTTAGTTATATACAAGAGAAGCTTCATAAGACTAGCAGCTATTTTTTTCAGCTGAAATTTATAGCCCCAGAAGCAACTAACATGATATATTCAAATTATAGAAAGGGGAAAACTTACAACCAGGAATACTCTACTTGACAAGATAATGATTCAAAATTGAAAGAGAGAGAGAGTTTTCTACAAGCAAAAGCTAAAACAGTCTGTCACCACAAAACTGGCCTTATAGGAAATGTTAAAGGGAATTCTTTAAATGTAAAATGCCATAGCTAGAAACCAGAAATTTATGAAGGAAAAACTCACTATGAGGCAAACATATAGAAAAGGTAGTAGATCAACCACCTATACAGCTAATATGAAGATTAAAAAACAAAAGTAGTAAAATCATCTGTATCTAAAATATTTAAGTGATACTCAAAGTAAAAAGATGATAAAATATGACATCAAAAACATAAAACATGGGTAAGAATAAAATGCTGTGCTTTTAGAATGAACTTGGACTTAAGCCACCATCAGCTTAAAATCGACTACTACATATGTAGTTTGTCATATATGAATTTCACGGCAGCCACCACGAACCTCAGAGGCTTCCCTGGCAGCTCAGTCAGTAAGGAATCAACCTGCAATGCAAAGACCCAGGCTCAACCCCTGGGTTAGGAAGATCCCCTGAAAAAAGAAATGGCAACCCATTCCAACATTCTTGCCTGGGAAGTCCCATGGAAGGGGATGCCTGGTGGGCTACAGTGCATGGAGTCACAAGAGTCAGACCCGACTTAGCAACTAAACCACCTAAATAAACCACCACGGTAACAGAAGCCAAAAATCTCTGACTGATACACAAAAAATAAAGAGAAAGGAATCCAAACATAACACTAAACAGCGTCATCAAACGACAAGAGAAAAGAACAAGAGGAAAAAAATAAAAAAAAGAACAAGAGAAGAAAGAGATAAAGAACTACAAGCCCAATCAGAAAACAACAAAATGACAGTAATTATAGACCTAATCAATACTCATTTCAATCTAAAGGGACTAAATGCTACAATCAAAAGACAGGGTGGCTGAAAGCATTAAAAAAAAAAACCACTTATCTATAAGTCACCTTCAAGTGACTCATTTCATATCTAAAGACACACACAGACACACACAAAGTAGCAATATGCATCTCAAACAAAATATGTAACAAAATGTACATTTTTTAAAACAAAAAATGTAACAAGAGACAAAGAAGGTCATTATATAAAGATAAAGGGATCAATCCAGCAAGAGAATATAACATTGTAAATATCTATGCACCCAACAAAGGGGCACCTAAGTACATAAAGCAAATATTAACACATATACAGGAAGATATAAACAATAATATGATAATAGACTTTAACACTCCACTTACACTGACATTTAGATCAGAGAGAATATCAGTAAGGAAATATTGGTCTTAAAGACACAATAGACCATATAAACTTAAATAGATATGTATGGACCTTCAACCACCCAAACAGCAGAATACACATTCTTTTTAAGTACACATGGAACATTTTCCAGGATAGATCACATATTAGATCATAAAACAAGTCTCAAAAAATTAAAAACTAATTCTTTTCTGACTCAAACAGCATAAAACTATAAACCAATTATAAGAATAAAACTGGGGTGGGCGGGAAACCACAAAATGTGAAGCGTAAACCAAAAGGAACTAATCAATCAATGGGTCAATGAAAAAAATCAAAGAAGAAATCAAAAAATAATCTAAAACAAATGAAAATAGAAAGACAACATTCCAAAGTCTAAGGGATACGGTGAAAGTGGTTTTAGGAGAGACGCTTATAGTAATGCAGGCCTACTTCAAAAAGCAAGAACAACCTCAAATAAACAATCTAACTTTGCACCTAAAGGAACCAGAAAAAGATTAATAAAAGAAACACAAAGTTAGTTGAATGAAGGAAATAATAAGTCTAAAATACAATGCTTGTTCCATAATAAAACCTGAAACTCTGTAGCTCAAAGATCATTGCCTCTTCAGTAGAACTCAGCTTTAATTCTACCTAATTTTGACAAGGTATTTGAGAAAGAGAAGAAAAGGTTCGAGGTCTTGGCTATGCTATAGAAATTACTTGGCTAATAAATTTCAAAAATTTTATTTTTGTTTAAAGTTCTTGAGTAGATATTTCAGAGACAACATTAATTTTAAAAAAAGACAAAAACAAAATATTACCATGGTAAAATAGAGAAGAAAATAGCTTGCACTGTGTAACACTGAGTTTGTTCAAGAAGTTTCATCTTCTAGATATTACAGGGAGATTATTTTTCACGGGTCTCTCCTGTATCCAAACATTTTTAAAGGCATGAATAACTAGTATACACCAAACTGGCTTTTCAAGGATGTTCATATAGCAGGCAGACTTTCAAAAACAGGCAAAACCTTGAAGCAAATTTGCTTGCGTTCTAGAAAGTAGAGACATCTCTCTCTATAGAGAAGATCTGCTTGGCATTCTAGAGTAATACAGACGTCTCTCTTGCAAGAGGAGGATGGGCTGGTTTGCCAGCAGTCCCAGTATAACAGAAGTGCTTCTCAATAAGAAGATTCCTTTTTAACGTGCTCCACTGCCTAACAACATCCATCTCTACTGACATTTCCCTGGAGAAATTGCAGTTCAGAAAATCAGTGCTGCCCTGTTATTCTGCTTACTGCTATGGTCCTAACAAACTCTTTTCACTGACTGGAGTTTCACGTCTTTTGCCAATATTTACAACATCGACATGTGTGTTTGCACACAAAATGAGTTTAATCCTCAGATCCTGCCTAGTTTCTGACTTGACAGATAATGAAATAAGGCAACCATGTATCTTAACTTCAGCAAATAGAGTGAATTCTGAACTCAAAAAAAATAACTTACTTAAAAAAATTTTTTCTTTTGGAGATACATAAAATAAGATCTAGGACAAGAACATGAGGGGTATTCCAATTTAGCTTTTCAAGTATTAAAACTGGTAAATCCTTGAGAACAGGGAATGGAGTCCCTGAGGACAGAAACACGTCTGTAACCACTAGCACATACTCAACAAATAGGTTTTTAAAATTTAGCAGTATTTTTCCAAAAAAAAAGGTTATGTTCTTAAAACCAACTACAGGGAAGCTTTTTAACAGGTAAAAAAAAAATAAAAAATCCAAAAATAACACTACCTAGAAATAGTTACCCTGAGCATTGGATAAGTATCATTTCAACAGTCATCTATTAATAATATATGCAGCAAGCTGCTAGGACAAAAGGACAAAAGAACAGAAAAAAAAAAACAGAATCATATGCATGTCATTTAAAAATTCTTTAGTGTTAGCAAAAAAAAAACAAAAACCCTTAAACATAATAAACCTGAAATTGCTGCTAAACTTCAAATTATTCTTCACCTCCAGGGAACTTTTCCTAAACGTTAACATGTCATGAACCAGGTGAGGACACTGGACTTTCAATGACAACACACTTCATGTGTAAGTCAGTGTTAACTGATTTCCTTCTAGGATAGAGAAAGAAATAGCATACTGTAATTCTGCCCACAGCCTAGTTCTGGTCAATCATACTTTTATCCTGACAAGGCTTATTAGATTCATAGCCTATTCAATAGCCATAATTCACACAAGCTGACATAATATATCTATGCTCAAGGCAACTGCTTTAAATAAAATATCTCCATTTATAAATTCAAATTAATTCACTTCTCTATTTGATGGACTTCAGTTGCAAGTAGTTTTTTGTTTGTTTTTTAATACAAGCCTCAAAATTTTTACATTCATTGAGTGTTTCCTTCTATTCTGGAAGAATAGCTTATCTGGGAAAAAAAGTTCAGTTCACACTTAACCTCAGAGATTTGTAGTTTCTGCACAAATATATTCAAACACAGAGCACTGTCCTGATGCTTTTTAAAGTCCGTATGTCATAAATCCATGGCTGATTCATGTCAATGTATGACAAAACCCACTACAATATTGTAAAGTAATTAGCCTCCAACTAATAAAAATAAA